GCCAGAGGCTCGGCCCGAGGCAGAAGACCAGCCAGTAGGGTGGCTCTCCAGCAAAGGAGAGTTCGACAGTGGGAGAACAAGGAGGACGATGTTGTCGTGGTTGACCTTGAAGGGGCTCATCGTCCCACGAGTGCGCCAAGAACGGAAGTGGGCGGAAGTAGCTCGGGCCTACACATGCCACAATGGTTGGTTCGTGTTGACGACAACTTGGAGACGCCTGGGGTTCCCGAGCAGTTGTTGCAAGGGATTATGACTATGTCAATGGCCCAGGCATTGGTCGGGGTCGGCAGCGGAGCCTTAGAGTGCACGCTTCTGCAGTGCAGCCCAGGTAAGTTCCTTTCTTATCCCTTGTGCTTTGCTCTTTTTTTTTCTTCTTTTTTTTTTTGGTGTATACTCACCATTCTCTTCTGCAGAATTCTTGTGCAGCGGTTGTGTTGGTCGATCGCCTCCGGGACATTCAATAATGTACGAGTGAGAACATCCCGAGTATCTGCGGTAGAAGGCCCAGCTGGCCGAGCTTCAGGCTGCTGGGGTGGTCAAGCTTAAGGCACAACTGGCCGAGCAGGCCAACGTTGTCTGCGGGCAGAGGCAGGAGATCTCTGAGTTGAAGGCGGAGCGGAAGAGGCTGAAGCAGGAGGCTGCCGAGGAGGCAGTCAACTAGTACAAGGCATCGGAGGAGAAGTAGCTGCACATGGATGAGTACGTCGAGGCTTCCTTCGCAGCTGGATTCAACGTCTTACATCATAGGATCCTTCGCCGCCACCCAAAGCTAGCCAAGGAGTCGCAGGGCTAGGGAGCCTACGTTCCGGATACTCCGCAGGGTTCCATCGAGGAAGTCAATGAAGAGGATGGGGACAAGGTTGAAGCTATTGATGGGGCTGCAGACTCTGCCGCCAAGGATTGAGCGGCTGTTTTTTTTCTAGTTATGCTTTTTCTGTCTTTGCTGTGATCTCCTTGCTTTTTGTATTGGCTCGGTATGCCGATCCTTAAACGATGTAATGGACCATCTTAAGTTGAATATCAATTATTCTTTGTGTTGACTATATGTATGCCTCTTGTTGTTGTTGTCGTTTTTACTTGTGCATTTTTCTTTTTCCAACCGAAGCATGGCCAGCCAGGCTATTGCGTGGGTCGAGCTGGGCTATGCCTCGGGTATCCTCTTCGTACTTGTGCAATTTTAGTTCACTGGCCAAGGCATGGACGACCAGGCTATGCCTCCGTGTCTGCGGTGTAGTTGTTTGGGATCTTTCAGTTTCTTTTGCTGACTGAGGCATGGCCGACCGGGCTATTGCACGGGCCGAGTCGGGCTATGCCTCGGTGTTCCCGGTCTTCTACTGATCGAGGTGTAGTTGTCCGAGATTTTTGGTTCCCGAGCTCTCAGCCATGGGATGCTCAGTTTTTTGTCTCGGGAGCTTTCGGGGCCCTTCTAGGGCTACCCATTTCCCAGCTAGCTCGGTCGTTAAGCCAACGGTTGTGTGGAGTTCCACGAGGTACAAACACGCTCACCGTTAAGCCAGCTAGCTCAGTATCAGTCGGCCTTCGAGGTCTTCCAGTCTATAAGTACTCGGTCCAAGGACCCTGGTGATTCAGTATGGCCCTTCTCAGTTTGGTCCGAGCTTGCCTTCTCTGGTCACGGGGACTATGACTACATAGGACAAAGTCGTCGGTCTTGAATTCGTGCCTTCTGACTTTGGAGACGTAGTGCCTTGTCATTCCTTGCTGTTGCGCGGCCATTCTTACATGTGCTCGGTCCCGGGCTTCTTCTACTAGGTCCAACTCCGCACGTAGATCTTTGTCATTCTGCCCCTCATTGAATAGCTCGGTCTGGATAGTTGGGGAACCTATATGCACGGGAACTATGGCTTCGGCCCCGTAGGTCAGGCTAAAAGGGGTCTCTCCAGTGGCGGTCCGCGGGGTCGTTCTATATGCCCAGAGAATGCTCGGCAGCTCCTCAACCCACCTTCCCTTGGCTTGATTTAGGCGCGTTTTCAGGTCGTGTAGTAAGGCTCGGTTGGTTACCTCGATCTGTCCATTACTCTGAGGTCGATGCACCGCGATAGTCTGATGATCAATCCTTAGGTCGGCACAGAGGGCCTCGAACTTCTTGTCACTGAACTGTGTCCCATTGTCCGTGATGAGCACGCGAGGGATGCCGAAGTGATAGACAATACCCTGCCAGAAGAAGTTTTGGGCATTATGGGCGATGATGAGTGCCAAGGCTTCGGCTTCCACCCACTTCGTGAAGTAGTCCACTGCTACGAGAA